GCATGCCCTAAACGGTCGTGCCATCATGTGGCTGAAAGCTTGATAGCACCACAAGCTTGTTTATTGTATCTTCGAAGCTCCGGAATCAACGGATAGAGGCCCCGAACGCATCTACCTTGATAGAGAGTTTTCCTCGTGACCTGATCCTTGATCAAAAAGAAGAAGGGGTGAAACTCAATATAAACATGATTGTCAAGGGTGATACGATGGACAGATAGAAGATTCTTGTCGGTGCTAGGAACATGCAAGATTTTCCTAAGATGAAACTGTTTACGTGGGGTACGAAAAACGGAATGACCAATGTGACGTATCCTCATACCTGCACCGCTTGCGGTGTGGATCTGGTCCTTGCCATGATACCTCTCCTCAAGCGTGACCTTCTCTAGTTCGCCAGTGAGATGATTTGTCGCTCCGCTGTCAAGATACCAGTTGGTATCTATACCGTATGAGCCGTCAGCAGCAGCAGCGATCTTTTCTTCATCTTCAGAGGAAGCCTCGTCCTCATCAAACCGGTACCAGCAATCTCTTGCCGTGTGGCCCGGCTTGCCGCAGATCTGGCAGCATACCGCGTCCGGGCGTGATCTGGAAGACCCACCGCGGCGGCCCCTGGTGTTGGTGGAGTTGGTCCGTCCACGGGAGTTGGACCCGCCACTGCTGCCGCCACTCCCTTGCTTGCCCTTGGAGCGAGGCGGGCCGCGATGACGAGAGTAGCCACCGTGCCCACGCACTGCTGCGTTAGCGGACGACTTGAAGCCGCCTGATCCCTGGTACTGTGCCACCCTGTGATCAAAGTTACTAAGCATTGAAAAGAGCTCATCAAGGGATACCGGGGAGGTTCGGGCGTCGAGGGCGGAGACGAGTGGCTGGTAATCCATGTCGAGGCCGTGGAGGATGTAGGAGACGAGTTCATCGTCCTGGAGAGGCTTCCCGGCGGCGGCCAGCTCATCGGCGAAGCCGCGCATCTCGGCGAAGTAGGTGGCGACGGTCTTGTTGCCCTTTTGCGCGTTCACCAGAGAGGTTCTGATGTTGTTGACGCGACTGAGTGACTGCAAGGAGAACATCCCCGACAGTGCCGTCCAGAGCTCGCGCGCTGTGGTGATCGCGGTCACCTGCACGAGCACCTCCTTGGTGAGGTTGTTCAGAAGGTACCCGAGCACCTGCTGGTCCTCTCGCACCCAGATGGCGTGGAAAGGGTTCGGCACAGTCGTTTCCTTCCCATCTTTGTCCTTGGTGGGGAGGATCCTGGCCGTCTCCGGTGTAGCGCCGTTGACGAAGCCGAAGACGCCCGCGCCCCTCAGCTGCGGCGTGATCTGCGCGCGCCAGAGGACATAGTTGGTGCGGGAGAGCCTCTCCGTGACTTGGCCATTGAGGCTAGTCTGGGAGGCACCGGAGGAGGACGACATGGTTTGCATTGGATGGTGTTTTAGGGTTTAGACGTTGTGGAAGAGAAGGGCTCTGATACCATGTGCGCTGGCGGAAAGTGTCGTACCTCAACTCGAGGGGACACCGTACGTGTTTATAAGCAGGGGCGCACCTCCCTGATAGCGCATACAGTTGAGATTACATCTTGGAGAAGAAGCTAGATAGAGATAAGATTACAAAGAGAAGATAAGCCCTAGCTAACTACCTAACCAAACTACCAAGATATGCATAGCAAGATACGGCACACAAGATATGGGTGCGGTAGCCTTGTCACGTACATAATAAGGTGTTTGACAGTACTGACTCCGCCTCCGTCAGTTGCTCCGACTCAGCACCACTGCCACAACCACCCCTGCAGGTGCTGCAATGCTACCCGGCTGAAGACGCCGCAGCCAACACTTGGTGGCAAAATTCTTCATGGCTAATTTCTTGTAGTGAGTAATGCATTGCAGTATCTAGGAAACAGAGAGATGGCAGAGTACATACAGACTACTCCCTCCGTTCCAAAATACTTGTCGTGGATTTGAACTAAAACCACGACAAGTATTTTGGAACGGAGGGAGTATGAAACATCACAAACTCAATCATTTTAGTTCCTGGCAGCAAGGGATTGCTGTGTTTCAGGAGTTATTACAGAAACAACAAACAATGAATGATAAGATGCAGCTACAAAGAAATTAAGAGCTGTTGATACCATCACAGTACCATATGACTCATTACAAATAATTAGAAGCGTGCACACTTACAATGTATAAGAAATTAATATGAGTTTTAATTACCAAAGGGTGTTGCTGATATTTTTGCCAACCGGGCTAAGCCCGTTTTCATTAATTGATCAAAATAACCAGTTCATTACAAATTTACAATACAACAATAGAGGGAATGGAAATGAAGATAGCAAGTTTGGGCACTAATAGGAAACCCGCTGCTGAGCGCTGCTCTCGAGCACCCACTACGGGGCAAAAACCTATTAGCACTACCCAAAAGAGTCTAGAGCAGCATGAAAGAAAAATTAAGGATTACAACAAAGTACAGACCTCCAGCAGCAGAAGACAACGGGGGGACACGAAAAGAGCATAACTAGGCACGGAGCTCTAGAACATGCTTCATCCTGTTGTGCATCTCCTTCTGATCCCAGTCATCCTTGAAGCCCTTGTGCAGGTACAGCATCCAGAGCTTCTTGAGAGATCCAAGGGATTCGATGCCACAAGGGACCGTACTCAGCTCCGAGAGTGACATGATGTAGATCCCATCAATGTATGGAATGGCGCCCTCTAAAATGTCCAGTTTCTTGACATCAAGCATGTTCTTCAAGACGAGTGTCTTAAGCTGAGGGAAGCACCCTGCAGAAAGAACCAACGCACCTGCACATCTCACCTTGTTTAGAGTGAGGTAAGTGAGAGCTGGCAGATGAGTTGCAAGTAACTCCAGGGGGTCTTCACTCCCAAGATCGCACCAACTTAGCGCGAGATACTTGAGATTCTTCCCATGACCCTGAAATATTGGACAATTGAGTGTCCCATCGGCCCAGCCACCTCTAATGATTAGTCTGTGGAAATTTTTGGACACTGGCTTGAGTGCTTGGAAAGAAATCGTCTCCTTGACATCACATGCAGAGAGAAGTAAGCTGGAAAGTTGGGGCCTATCTGAGAGGGTCTTGAAAAGGTCATCACAATTAGATCCATTGATGTTATCAATCCAAACAGTCCGCAGCTCTTTCATTTCTTTCAGTTGTAGTGGCAAGTCCTTGCTGGCATGGACGGTCTCAAGAGTTTGCAATTCTTTAAAGTTGGAAAGCTTTTTCGGCGCTTCCACTCCGATAAAGTACCGGAACTCCACCTGCTTCTCGTCAGCAAACTTGTCAGCTAAAAGGTGTCGTAGCCTCTCAACCTTTACAATACCTGGTGGTAGCTTTTCTATTCTTGTTTGCTTGACATCCAACGTCTCAAGGTTTGAGAGTTTTTCAATAGTATCTGGCAGTGACTGAACTTTGGTGCGCCTTAAGCCAATGTAGCGAAGATTGAACATATTCCCGATGGATTCTGGCACTTGGACTATTGCAGAGTCTTGAAGCTCGAGAACTGTAAGGTAGTTGGATCCAGACAAAACTGAGGAAATCATGTTGGTAGAGGACAAAGCCGCTGAGAGTGATATCACGGTCCTGAGTCGTGGAAATTCCACTTCTGGAGCAGCTGCCATATTATCTCTCCAACCACATGTTGAGAATTGGCGAACTTCTTTATCCATGTCCTTCACTTCGCTCTGATCACTCGCGGAGCCAAACCTCTCCTCTTTAGCAACAGCAGGAGACAGGTCACGAACAAGGTCATGCATCTTACATGTACTAACCCCAAAGAGCTCATCTCTCTCCAGAACTTCCAACATATTCCGGCCAATGAGTTCCATGAGATTCCACTCAGCCACTTCCTCCGGTGTGCTGTTATCTTTCTTCTTTGCAAATCCTTCAGCAACCCACAACCGCACAAGGTTCTCCCGTGACATTGCATAGTCTTCACGGAACAAGCTACAGTATAGGAAGCAGTTCCTGAGATCACCAGGCAAGTCATGGTAGCTTAGATTAAGTATAGCTTGGACATGGTTATCCCCCCGCAGCTCGCTTCGGAGATGGTTGTACACATCATTCCAGGCATGCTCTGCCGGTTGCTTCCTCGATAATAGGCTGCCAGAACCTCACTTTGAAGGCGGCTGTCGGCTCTGTTGCACCTCCTCAAGCTGACGGAACTTTTCACTGTCGTTCGATTCCACATGGCTATGCTGTTTTGATGGTGGATGAAATAATGGAGGGATTTGAGGAGCCGGAGCTTGATCACCCTACAGGCGAAGGGGAGAATCATCTGGTTTATGCTTTGAGGAGTACCTGTCTATGGAGGAAGGAGTACATCAAGATTCCAAACTGGACGCCTCCTCCTCCGGCGAGTCAGGGCACTACGGCTCCTCCGCCTCCTCCGACGAGCACTCCGCCTCCTCCGACGTGTGAGGGCACTCCGGCTCCTCCTCCGCCTCCTCCGATGTGTGAGGGCACGCCGGCTCCTCCTCCGCCTCCTCCGGCATGTCAGCGGACTCCGCCGCGTCAGCAATGGCGGAAGAGAAACGCCGCCGCTCCGGCGGCTAGCAGTACAAGCAGAGGCGGGAAGCAATTCAAATACAGTCCATGTCTCAAGGCTCCGGAAAAGTTACCATATGAGAGGACCGACAAGGAAAACAAGGACATCTGTCGTGCCCAAGTGAGGGACCATTTTGCATGGAAACCTCCACCTCCGAAGGAAACGTTAGATTAGGTGAAAGTGAAGCGCACTCTATATGCCCATAGGAGACCACCACCGCCTCCGCCGCAATCCAACTATGAGCGCATTATTGAAAGGACATATAAGGAAGCGGAGCGGTTGGAAAGTACTTCCAGTGATGCAAGATTAGCACAACGAAGAAGTGGGAAAACAATTCCCCAGCTCGGTGAACAAGCGAACCAATCGTGCCCCCCACTCAAGGTGTCTAGCGATATCGTCGCTAATCATCCCAGGCTAGTGCCTGGTACCAATCCTGCTGATTACCTGAGCGATGATGTAGATTTTGAAATAATGGAGGTGGACAGCTTCAGATACCAGCACGGGAAGCCTCTCGTCAAACCTGATCCTCCTCCTCTAACAACGATGATGCGAAGATTGCATGAATGGTACATGAAAACCTGCAGTGAGTCTGGGAAGAATTGTTTGATACTGAGAATTAAAGAGGAGCACGATCTCGATGGAACTGAGTTGTTGCCTGTTGAATTTGTGGAGTTATTCCAGTTATACAACCAATTGTCCCTCGACAAACAACTCGTGACTTGCTACTGTCTGTAAGTATTACTTATGTAATTAGGTATATATATATATATAGCTCAGCTCTTTCATTGCATGTATATATAATTATCTCACTATATTATGCAGATTGAAGATCGTCGAATGCAGAAAAGCACAAATCTATGACATTGGGTTCATTAACCCAAATACCATAAATGAATGGTCGGTTAAAAACAAAGTCTTTGGTAATGAGGATAACTTGCTACAATCGTTGCTTCGAAATCAAAACAAAGAGAAAATACTCTTTCCTTACACCTTCAAGTGAGTGTTACTGTCTTGTCATATTCGGTTTCCCTTACTCGAGGTTATGGTAATGTAATTGATGAGTTATGCTTGCGTGCGCAGCTTCCAGTTTATTCTGCTAGAGATTAAGCTTGACCGGGGACTAGTAACTGTCTTAGACTCGAGACGAAAAGATCACCAGGACTATGCGGACATGACTGAAAAGCTCCAGAAGTAAGTTCAATCGATCATTATCGCACCATATTGGCAACTTTGTTCATTTCCTGATATCAAGTAATTATTTTCTTAGTGTGGCAGGGTTTGGAAAAAGTTCACCGTAATTGTTTCAGGACTACCGAGGGAGCTGCGATTTACACGCCTGAAAGTAAGTACTACTAGCTAGTTCCGATCATCTCCCATTGATTCTAGTTTCATCAATACCATTTATCATGCTTGATTATCAGTTTGATTGAACTCTATTTGTCGTAAAGTGCTTGTGGCAGGAGGCCGGGAATGATTTTTGTGGATACTACGTTTGCAAGTTCATCTACAACGCGACGGCCTCTCGGCGGGGCAACTCTGAAAAACAATATGAAGTACGTAAACAATAATATTCACACTTTTATTTTATTACCACCATTTGTGTTGAGTTTCATTCATATATATGTATTGACCCCTTGTTTAAATTAGATGTGGCAGATGCGGGATGAACTCCTACACATGATCGCATACGAGCAATTCAAGAGGAATTGGCAGGATTCTTTCTTGACCACGTCATACCTAAAGCCGAAGAATATCATGTGGAAATTAAAACCGATTTTAGATGTTAGGGATTGCAAGACATGTTATATTGTATATATGTAGTAGCGTCGGATAGATATACGAAAACTTATTGTTCGACCAATCTCTCGAAGAAAGAGATGTCTCACTTCTCTCTGTATATATAGTTTCACGATGATGTTCGATAATTAATGGTTCCTTCATTTGCTTACTAGCTAGCGTGTCGAGTTCTCTCTATATGTATAGTAGCTAGTGTTGACCAAGCACGAAGAAAGAGAGGACACTTCTCTCCATTAGCTAGCTAACACAATATGAAACACCTAAATTAACC